TGTGTGAATTCCTCCAAACTTTTGTCAGTTTTCTTGGAGTCAGTTTTATACTTCTGCCGGTTGGCTACGGGGGTCAGAAAATAACGTTGGTGGATAACTTTGACCACCAGGCCGTAGTTCTGCTTGTCAGTGTCATTGAGGGAGTGGAAAGCCTTTTGGGCACGGCCAGTCAAGTAGGGCTCAAGCAGTCTTGGCCAGTCCTCTTCAGGTTTCTTCGCAGCGGTGGCGAGACGCTCGAATGTATTGAGGTATTGTCGTCGTCAGATCCTAACTTGTGAAAGTCAGAGAGTTTGGGCCCAACATTAACCCTAACACTCCTCAATCCTCCAACAGGTGAAGGATCGAGGAGGGTTAGGGTTAACTATCGGGGGAGTCTTGGCAGACTCAGCTACTGTTCGACAAGGTTTCTCTGTCTCTTTGCGTCGGCTTGCCTCTAGCTCCTGCACAAGATTTAGTAGGTCAATGGCCTCAACGTTTGGTTTTGACGAAGGTGGCGTCTCTCTCACTAGGTTACGAAGATCAGAAAGGCATGTGACACGCTCTTGTTTAGTTTTTATGGCTGTGGCATCAATGTGGTTCAACTCACAAATCCTAGTGATATGTTCAGCGGTAAACCGGTTTAGGTACGTGGCTCGATCCATTGTCAAAAGTCAATTGTCAGGCATCTATAAAAACGGGAGTCAAGGATAGCATTAGCAATGTAAATCTACATTACACAACAGTACTGGCTAATGCAGACAATTTTCCTTTTCAGGCACAGAAAAAACAGAACAATGTAGACTCACTAAATGACGAATACAAGCAACGATTGTCGCCAATCTAAAGTTTTCAATACAATCACACCACCAGTTATGTGAATCTACTTTCGGTATTCCGACCTCGATATCCTGTCGACTACGCCAAATTGTAACGGGCTGGTTATCCCGGGTTACGATTAGATCCCGAGACAACGGAAATACTAAAAAGATTGACGAGATTGGGGCAGATTATAATGGAAACGATGTGACCTGTTTTTGTGCGTCTCCTCGACGTTCAGCCATTGTCACAGAGTGATATTAAATCGGAATTACTTTTAAATTAATAATACCGTATAATTTTGGCCCTGATTGTTGAAAAGATAAACGTGGTATTTAGTGGTAAAACAAAATTTTATTTTCCTGAGCCGCCACACCCAAACATTCCTGAAGTCAGTCAATCTTACCAGAATGATGGGCTGAGTGCCAGTTGAGTTATTATTGGTAGATGTAGCCACTCATGCATTAATTTGAATAATAAATATTTATGAAGGGTACTGTACACAAAACATTTTGAGTTCTTTGGAATAAGGCGTGGTAGTGCTAGAATTTTTCTTTCGGGTTTAAAAGAAAAGATATGGGGGTGATGTGATCAGTTCATTGCTGAATTCCGAGGAGAGGGCAGCGGCCAGCCTCGATGACTTTTAGTCGTGAGTCGAGTTAGTCTGGAGATGAATAATTTCTACTTATGGAAGTAGAATAAACTACATTTAGACTGTTCTGAGAAACGGAAAGCCAGGAAACGACCAGTTCCTGTAAGTTAGCCATGTATGAATATGATATATTGGATATTTATTTCATACATTTACTCCTTGCAAAACCAGACCTTGAGCCAGTGAAAATGAGATTTGCCGAGATATTGCATAAAATCCTTATTGATTTAAGTAATTTAAGTTGAGGTTGTTGCGGCACTGAAACAGTTATCTTGAAAGTTGACACACATTCATTAATGAATATTTTGCGTTAAATGTAACTTGGCCAGACAAACCAGAAACATGGGAATATGGTGGTAATTTTCAGGGTTTTTACGTTGAGAGGAAGGAGTCGGTTGACCGGTGGTGACAGAAGGGTTGGACCGCGGCGGCGGGACGCAGAATCTTTCCGAGTCAGCCACAGGCCTCAGAAGCCGACTACACCGCAAGAAACAGAAGCAACATGGTGGCGGGACATTGAGGTGCTCATCACCACATTTAAATTGTAATCAATAACAATGTTAATGTAAGGAACAATCTTCATTTTGTGTTCTTTTATAAATAAATGTAAATATTGTACAGGCAAAACAAATTTCCAGCAACAGGTGTGTATATATTCGTGTCTCAGTTACCAAAGGTCTGTCCCTAAGAGTAGGACAACTCGAGGGGTGTGACAGCCATCTTGGAAAAAACATAAACATAATATGACCTCTAGCCTTTCCTAGCATTCTATGGAAACATGTACGTGCAAGCTACTACAGTGCTCCTAAAGTGCCGTCTGGGGTATGACCGTCCGCTACAGGATGTACAAAGCCGACACCGCATGATCCACTACGCGGCGCAGACATGTAGGCCCAGTCTGTTGAAGCCCCTTTTGGACTCAATACGCCAGTCATTTTCTGATTTTTGGGGGCATATGCCAGTTGCATCTATGATTTATTAATCAGCATCTACATGTAGTATCTGTTTTGTAGTCAGTTTGTATGTATGTGTTCATAAACAGTCTAATACATGTAGGCCTAGGCCTAATTTGAATTTCTTGACTCCTTACTTGTGCATGGTGGGCATGTACACATGCATCAAGTATAAGATACATAAAACTTTCATTGTATGCGATGGTACATGCACACCTACACATACATATGCCTGTATTACATACATATATACATGCTATATACATTTATACATGTATGTAATATACGTGAGCATGTCTTAATGCGGCGAAACGTGATTACCATAAATGTGCTTACACATGCGGGCCAACCAAGGCTCGTGGATTTTTGTTATGGTCCGGTCTTACCCCTCATGGGTGTTGTTCTGAACCGAACCGTGAAATACTCACATTATGCAGGATTACATTGATTTCATTGCAGAAAAGGAAGAGAAAATTGAGCTCATAGAAAGTAACCAACCCGATGAAAGAGAGAAGGGGGTACAGGGAAAATCTCAGATATAGATATGCTAAAGACAGGCATGCAACGTTTTTTTGGATCAGCTGATTTCCTTTTTTTCTACTTGTGCCATTGAAAATTGAAAAAAAAAACACTGTACAAAGTCTTGTAAAGATTGGATTTTACAATCATGGCTGTATGCCTGTTAAAAAGAGATACTGGACTCAAAAGCACATCTGATTTCAAGATTTGAATGCAGAACTTACCAGTGTGGTGATATCATATTCATGATTAGGTTCGCACGAAATAGTAGTGGTAGNTAGTGCATTATGAATTCCCTGTCAATGTTTGGCGTCTTGTCAACTTCACCATGAACTCACCACAAAGTAAATTGCATTGTTTCACTTTTCCTGAATGTTGCTATCTTTGACAGCCAGTTTTCTTTTAATTGTTACCTGAATAGGGTCAGGATAGTGACATGCCACCAGATGATGCTACCTCCAGCTTGATGCCTCAAGGTAATGTAACCAATTTTCTGCTTAATTCTCAAATGCTTTGTACAGAGATTAGCTTTGTTCAACATTGTCGACTTGTTCCGGGCCGGCCGCAATCAGTGCAATAACAGCCAGTTTACAAATACAGTGGCCACAGCAATGGAGGCCGTCGACAGCCTTGTTCCCTCCGTAGCAGGCCTTGTTTTTAGCCAATTACAGTATTACGAATGAGGCAACAGGAAGCATTCTCTCATTGGTGAATCGTACAGTGCACATTGCGTACACAATGTACATGTACGTGGGCCATGGTCCAACCTCCAAATGGAGGTTGATGATTGGTTACTTCATAGAATACTCAGTTAATGAATATTTATACACGCTTTTACATAAAAATCGTCGCTGCAAATCCAGTGACAGTGTAAAGAAAAACAAAACATCAGTCAGCTACGGAGAGAACAAGGCTGTCAGGCTGGTGGAATCCGTAGGCAAGTTACTGTAAGCCGCGTGGTGTCGCTGTTCCCATAGGTTCTGTGAACATGTGTTTTTACACTTGCTGCACAGTGCTTGAGCCGCACTGCATGCTACAGACTACAGCCCAGCCCAACCAGTCGACAGTGTTGGACAAGGCAATACAGAGATACAGTGTGTACCGTAGACTTAATCCTGTGGGAAGCCACCATTTTGGATTTACACTGATGGACCACCTTAATATTTTCCATTGCCACTTTCATTGTGCGTAACCCCATGCTTTTCATCCAAACACCAGCTGGTGTTTTTCAGGATGTCAAAGCCATGAAAGGCATGATTGATTGCAGTAAAACCTAGACATCTTGGGTCCCTGGAGCAGATTGCAATAAATGTTTTTAAAGTGGTCTATGCCAATTAGCCAGTCTTAAAACCCTCGCTGTCAGACGATCTCTAAATTAGACCATTGCAATAGCAGGGTCTAATTGGTAAGACAGTCTTAAGTTAGTTAGCCTGCCTGGGTTGAGCTGGCTTAAACAGTCTATAGTTGGTCTTTAAGTGCCTTTCGTATCAGTCTGTCCTTCATAGTATCAACATCTTTTTAATTTTGAATTTTAAACTTAGGCCTACAGCAACACCGAAGAATGGAATTTAAAGTTAAGTTAATTTTAATTAATAATTTTATGGTTGAAACCTATATTAAGAAAAATACGAGAAGAATTTTAGCACAGCCTGTGGATGTTCAATTTTTGCCAAAAAAATTGAAGAGTTGAACGAGACTTACCTTGGAAGTCGATCTTTAACTGTGATTCTACACTGCTCTCTGGCCGGATCAAAGGAATTACATGGGATACGATCGCACGCGCATGCGCAAAACCAGACTTTAAAGACAACTACATGGGACAGTTCCAGCTAAAACTGCCCTTAGACTAATAGTGGCAAATACTACGCCACATAAGGAAAACTGTGATAGTGAAGGGTGGGAGGGAGAGGATGTAATTCCCTTGATCCGGCCAGAGAGTGGTATAGAATCACAGTTAAACATCGACTTCCAAGGTAAGTCTCGTTCAACTCTTCCATTCTATTCCGCCCTCTGTTGGATCAGGAATTCCATGGGACTTTAAAGTAACTGGTACTGACCCATGCTACCCTCCCATTAATAAAAATAAAATGACAAAGAAATACATTATGTACATGCAACAACCCTGAAACTTGGTTTATTGCCTTCACATGGTAACCTTAAAGGACAAACTGTTGCATACTCAAGCAACCATCTGGATAACACCTCCATAATATATGTGTACGGTTAATCTGAGAATAGATTGAAACAGTGCCAATGGATATTAAGCAGCACAGTCTGTGAGATAATTTGAACCATGTAGCATTATTGCCCTTTGAAAAATCATCCATTAGATTTACTCTGGGAGAATGTAGCCGTCATGTTTAACACTTAAGAGAAAGACTACATATGTCTTGATGAAGCAGCAGTTACCACTCGCTCGCCCATGGTTTCCTGGGGTTTAATGGCCTCATTGTAGTATTTGGCAAATGTCTTGGCACTGCTTTGACCTGCTGTTTTGAGGATCTGCTCAAGATATGCCCCAGATGACAATGCCTTTGATGTGGATGCTGATCGAACACTGAGGGGTTTGTATCTGGAAATATCGATCCCCGCCTTGGAAATAGAGGTTTTGATCCAATTGCTGATTGTTGCTGTTACTTTTTTGTGAGGCTTCATGTAGCTGACAAAAACAATTTTGACTCCTCTTTCCTAAGAGTGTGGGTTCTTTCAATGTACTCTGAGAGTGCAGTGTAGATACAAAGGCCTTGATCAACTGGGCATGCTTTGAACTCAAGGACAGGATGGGTATATCCTTGCCTACTTTGCTTAAGATCTGACATTCTCACCAGAAAGGTGAATTTGGATGTTTCTTTGTCATGTTTGTCAGATCAAGTACATTGAGGGTTTGAGCCCTAGCCGCTACTAAAAGCGATGCTAATGTCACTGTTTTCAGAGTTAACATTTTTAATGTTAATTTCGCTACTGGCGATAGCAATCTCAAATACTTGAGGAGGACGGATGCATCCCAGGTATCATGATGACGAGGCACAGGAGGCCTGAGGTTGTACACCTCTCTAATAAACTTGATCACCCATGGATGAGATCCAGTAGTAACACCCCCTTTGCATATTACAAACTGTGAAAGTGCACTGCGAGCCGTATTAATGGCACTATACCTAAGACCTTCAAACAATTGGGTTAAGAAATCAATTACTTCATTGACAGATGTTGAAATACTATCGCTTTGCCCTTGCAAACAAAACGCATTCCATATCTGGATGTAAAGTGAGTATTGTTTGTGAGTTCCACATTTCCAGGCATTGAGGATGATTGGGGTAGCTCGCTCTGAAAGTGCTGACTCTCTTGAGGCTTTCCTGATATGCGACCTGCTATCAGAATCAACTTCTTTCTCAGTGGATGAAGACTGCTGCTGAACTTGAGAGTCAGTAGCTTGTCCATTGGGGGTAACAGTGAAAGTTGCTCTGTCAGCATCTTCAGAAAGACAGGGAACCACGGTTGGGTGGGCCAACATGGTACAATCATCAGAGCCATCCCTTGGTCTGTTCTTGGCTTCTGCAGCACTCGCCCAATTAGGCTGAAAGGAGGCAAAATATGTGCATAAAAGTCACACCAGGACTTTGAGAAAGCGTCAATAAACAGTGCTTCGGGGTCCTGCCATGCAACATAATGACTGCATTTTGCATTGAACCTTGAAGTTAATGCGAAAAGGTCATGCTCTGGACTACCAAAAAATAATACTAGTCTGTTGAAAACCTCGTCATGCAGTGACCTCTCACACCCATCGCTGAAATTGCCTGCTCTCGAAATCAGCCTGGTCATTCTTTGTTCCAGGCAAACGGGAGGCAGAAAGACAAATACCTTTGGACAAGCACCACTCCCATATCTTTCTGGCCAGATTATTGAGTTCGGGTTTCCTACCACCCATGTGATTTAAGTAAGCAATGGCTGTTGTGTCCAGCAACAACGACACAGCTTTTCCACTGATGTTATGTGCACAAGTCTTCAGAACAAAGAAGGCCCCAACAATTCAAGGTAATTTATGTGCGATAGTTTCTCTGCATCATTCCATCTGTCCCCAAAGTGCTCATCCCCACATGTACCACCCCATCCTTCCAATGAGGCGTCTGAGGCGTAAGCGTTATATCGGCATTGCATCTTACGATAGGACTTGCTTGACAAGGTAAATTATCTGCCCACCAATGTAATTCTGCTTTAATGGCTTCAGAGACAGTCATTTGAGAGTCAAAATCCCCTGCACTCAGTCTCAATGCTTCATCTTTGGCTTGTTCCAAATCTCTGTATTTAAGTGGGCCCACCTGCACAGCAGGAAAGGAGGCAACAAGGCTACCTATTACTTTAGCCACACTCCTAAAAGAATCCTTCTGTTTGTCGGCCAAGTCCTTGCATAGGGTGACTACATGTTTAAGTTTGTCAGTGGGCAATGTAACATTCATTGAATCTGAGTTGATTACAAATCCCAGCTGGGTTATTTGTTTGCATGGCCTCATGACTGATTTGTCCCAGTTTATCACAAAGTCCAGTTCCAGTAGGGTTCTCAAAACAAATGTTACAGAGGAAAGCAAGTCTGCTTCAGTGCCTGCTACTATTAGCATGTCATCAAGAAAACCTGTGACACTATGTCCCATTTGTAAGAAGGCATACACTGGTTTCATCAATTTTGTATACTTTCGAGGCGCACAAAAAAGTCCATTAAGTAGGCAAGTAAACTGGAGCAGGGAGTCTCTCCAGACAAATTTAAGGAATTTCCTGAAATTTCTCTGCGCTGGAACACCATAGTATGCATCTTTCAAGTGAATCGATGCCATATAGCATCCTTTAAAGATCAACTTTAGAGCAATATCAAATGTCTCCATCTTAAAATGGTGATACTCAACATTGGTGTTGAACTGCTTCAAATCCAGAAAAGGCCTATGCGTGCCATTTTTCTTGGGCACTAGAAAAATGCTGGATAAAAATTCACCATTTTCATGGACAGACTTTTCCAGGACACCTTTGTTAATTTGGTTCTGGATTTCTTCATCTACAATCTGACTTTGCTGCTGATTAAAGTTAGAAATTGGCGCAGTATCCTGAATCGGCAGATATCCATCTGTAAACTCAATTGTGCAGCCTGAAACAGTCTGCAAAATGTCACTATCCAAAGTAATATTACTCCATTTGTGAATGAACTGGCCAAATCTACCAGCACGAAATGGAATAGATTTGTGCTCAGATTTAATTGATGCATGCCACATTATCTGGCAAAGGAGAAGCAACATTTGGGCCTATCTCACCATTAGGCGGGGCTTGAGATGCAGTGAAAGCTGGACGTGCACCTTTAGATTGCCCACCTCCAGATTGTCTACCACCACTGGCAACGCTACTTGTAGGATATGATGGGTTTGGAGTGTATGGCCGACCACCTCTACTCCTACGGATAGGACCAGGGCCATAGTGCCTGCGAGGAAAAAATCCTCCCCTGTAGTAGTGGGGGGTAGCGATAGGCTCCTCAGGTATATGTATAGGAAGATTTGCCTGGCCGCAGCTGGCTAACTGTCTTGTGGGATTCCCCAATGTCCTTTATCTGCTTTTCCATATTCTGGTTTCCACCATATAAGTAGGCATTGTGCTCTACATCAGATGAGAACAGATTATCATAACACCAAGACAGTTCTGGTTTCTGCAGCTCCCTGTGGCGCCGCGTAGGCAAATGTTGTGGAAACTGTGACCCAACATGGAGGGTCTTGTTATGCCAATTGCGGTTAACTCATTGACGATGCTGGCACTTAGAACTGCACTGCTGTCCTCCTTTTTTATATCGACATGTTTTTCAGGCAGCAGTCAGCTTTGGACACCGAAGTTTGGATAATTTCATCCTTTCGTCGAATCTTTTGGTTTGGTGTTTCAGCAACTTGTGCACAAGATCACCAGTTTCAACCTGGCACACGGTACAATTCTCAGGGCGCTTGATTTCCACTGATTTCTTGTGAAAAAGCTCGAAGTCCAAACCTTTCTGAAACATCTTGTTCACGCCCTTGGCTAATGACGCAGATACAGCTTCACACGTCTCTTCCTTTGGAGTCACAAACTCCGCCAGATATTCATCAAATTTGCTTACAACCGGATCCAAGTCGGGGGCAGTGCCAGAGCCACGATCTGTTGTGTCAGTGACACTGTGATCGTTGTCAGCCATGTTGTTTACGGCGCTAGTGCTCGTGTCCTTTGACCCTCCGTCATGGTCACCCGAATCGCAGTGCCTCCACCGCGTATTCCTCCACTGGATAAACAGCACCGCCATATTCCCATTCCATGTCGTGGGGCGGATAAAAATAGTCCGGATGAGGTAACGCAGAATGAGGGAGATCATGCTCATTTTCCAATTCCTGTTGAGTTTGTTTAATGGGACACACATCAACTTTCAGGTCCAGCATGGTTTTGGCCAGCTGGCTCAATGCTTTGACGAGTTCTGTGTTGCCCCGACCAGATTTGGATGACTGGTGGCTGGTTGCCGCCAATTGTTTACGTGTGGACGAGTGCGTCATCTTTCTGCTGGTCATATTCTCTTTCGACCCGGGATTAACCTTGTCTTCCCCCACTTTCGTCGAATCTTGTTTTTGTGCGTCATTGGCAGCGCTGTGGTCACTATTGTTCTTCGCCATACGTGAAGCAGGATTAATTCCAATCCCTGCAGAAAAACGGTAAGTTTTCGGTACTTTTGTGGAGCAATGTATTTTGCTGCTGTCTGGTTCTGCGAGTGTACGTTTGCTACTGGTTTGCGCATGCGCGATCGTATCCCATGGGATTTCTGATCTGACAGAGGGCGGTATAGAATGACATGGTGCCCACCTAATTTGTCGTAGCTCTACCACGCACTTGCGCTAGAGCAAATAATTTGTCACCCGTGGGGCACACACGCGTAAATCCTATGTAAATCCTTTTTTGTGTTTCCCAGGCTGTAAATGCCATTGTGAGACAATGGTTCCCGACGGTCAAGCAGTAGCTCATCTCTAGCAATAAAAAATGATCTTTTATTGTGGAATTCTGTCTGAATATAGATAATCGGATAAAATTTGTTACTAGCCGCATGTTTGAAGTGGGATAACTTTGCTTTGGTTAAGCATAATACACTTTAACAAACTGGAGTACAGAGGTTATCATCATATTGACATACCTGGTCCATTGTTGCCATATTAACTGATGCCATCTTCAAGAAAAGGCGTTTGAAAGTCACGAGTTGTGTCTGTGTGAAGCCACCGTAGAAGTGGATTTGGGCAGTTTTCTCCAGTTTGTGAACTTAGACTGCATTGCTATAGTAACATATTGGTCTAAGAGAGCATTTCTACACTTGTGGGTGACATCCATCACAGATGCAGTCCATCAATCTATGTCTACGGTGGCCTCACAAAGACACCAGCTGTATACAAAACCTGGACTGCATGATCGTTTGATTTTTCGGTGTATGGCCCGCGCCTGCGACGTCACATCAATTTTTTTCACGAGCATTTTAATCTGCCTAAAATTATTTATTTCTCCCGTCTCTGAATTATTTTTTATCAAAAACCCTGGACCACGTTGTTATACGGTTGGCCGGACAGTGTCGGACTATTAGTTTTTACTTTTGTCCGACCCTCCCAAAAATATTTATTATTTTAATTATGTAAATTAATTATATACAATTATTATTACAAATTATTATTAAAAAAATATTTATTTCTAGTGGGGACCTCGGGGAGCTAAATTCAAAACCTTGACCGCATGATCGTTGGATCTTTATTTATTTTTCTTTGGCCCGCCCATACCGTCATATTTTTTTTCCACGAGCATTTAACCCGCCAAATACATTTTTCTCACATTTCCGCATTTCTTTATCCAAAAGCTTGACCACGTTGTTATTAATTTTGCCTGGCAGCGTCGGACTATTTATTTTTCAATGCAGCAATTGTCATTTGACGTCACCTCAGTCAAACAATAATTGTGCAACAATCCGGAACCGTACCAAGATGTAATTGGTATCAAAATGAAGCTGATGCTCTGACAAATCTAGCAATAACTAATTTTATATGGTGTGATATTAGGTTCCCCCACAAACAGGATTTTACTAACTGTTGCGTTTTTTTCTTGGACACCCTGTAGTAATAGACCGATCCATTAAGCCACACATACTATAGCAACGGCCAGGTGACACGCGTGCAATCGATGTCTCACGCACATGCTTGGCATTTTTGCTCTGTGCTCAGTGGGGGTAGTACAGTGTCCAGTGTAAAATACAGTGCTGTTCACGATACGCACTGTATACATTTTCACACAACGCAGGTTTCAAAACGAAGATGCATGGCGAAAAGTGACAACATTCATGCCTAGATAGCCTAACTGCAAGTCTTTAATGGAAGTCAAAATAACTATTAAAGGCGGCAAAGGAGATGGGGTAGGCCCATTTGTTTTCCGTTTGTTTTTGTGAACACACGTTGCTTTGCAACAGCCGCACGCCGGCAGCCACCGGAAACACTTTTCCCTGTCCGTCTTTGGCTTAGAAAGTTTTTCCCAAACCACCTTTCCTCTTTTCTCAGGACATCGGGAACCCGATATGCAATTAGCATACGAACACCGCTTGACCGAGACTGTGGTGAAAACTTGGGGCATTTTTCATCACAGTGTACAAGCAAAGCAAGTGTAAAATCAACAAAAAGTGTGCGGTAAAGTATAGGAAATTGAAGAGAGTTTGTCGGACAAAATGGCGACTAAATGTCGGACCTCAAATTACGTGCTGTGATTGGTCAATGTGTCAGGGGGTGTGGCTTACTAGATCGGTCTATTTAATATACATGTAGCTCTATGATGTGCCCTTAGACAAGGCACTTTTTCACACATTGTCTTTCTCCACCCAGGTGTAAATGGGCACCTGTGAGGGCTATGATGGTTACTGTGATTGAATTAGCCCCTTTGCGCCTATTAGGCAGCATGGAGCTGTATACTCCCCAGGGAGCTGAAATGGTACATGTATTTGGAATGTTTCATTGGGCCCACTGAGCAGGGATAATAACAGTAAGCATCATGAGCATCTACCCATGATGGATACCGGTGCAATATAAATGTCCATTATTGTTATTATTATTAGCCAAGGCGACATTTAAGAATAAATTCAGTTGTCTAGTTGACTAGCAGCACATACTGAGTGTCTCCCATCCCACACAGGTACCCAGTACCCCTGAAACATTTTACTAGCATTTCTAATGTTTGGGAATTAAAACACCAAATCTCAGCATCAGCATTTTTTGATTGAGAATACAAAAAGTGGAGCGTAATTGATTGAAATAAAGAAATCTAAAATGTGTCCGGCTCTGCAAAAATGGGTATTGAGTCAGAAAAAAATCAAAATTGCATGATGCATATAGATAGAAAGGCTGTATCGTAAGCTTCAATTTAGTGTATGTTGGAGCTCTATACCACCTTGCATTCCAAAGATAATCACAGTTTGCATACATATCATTTACATGAAAATGTCTTACGGAGAAACTGCTGCTTAAACTTTTGGGCAGCAATGGACACACATGAAAACAATAGACACAAAAACATGTTTCTGTAATCTTTATTAGTCAAAACCATCATTCCTGATGACGATTTTTGAGAGTGGAGATGTCAATGGTATGTAAAACATACCAAAACAATCCACATAAAATAACCCATTAGATGAAACAAAAAATTCCAACTTCATACCCTTTCTTGCAGAGCCGGTCACAAATGGAAGTTTTTGGCGTTTTTCTTTGAATAATTGTCTGTTTGACAGACATGCATGAGTCGCCCCTTTAAAATGCACTGTCACCATGGATATACAGTTGTCTCTTAACACCACGTCGGTATACTTAAGACCTTCGTCATTACTTTTCCAATACCCATACTCTAAGTCTGGTGGTAATCAGTTGCAGTGAATCAACCATCAGCAGTCCCTGTAAAATGTACTGTCGGCATGGATATTCAGTTGCCTAGCAACATCATGTCGTGGAAAGTATGCAGGCCTACGTACTCATTGTCCTTGCCGTACCAGTACAGTAA